GATTAAATGTCATAGTTTATAAACTAAATATTTAACTTACAAATTAAATATTTCGTTAACAAGCTAAATATTTAACTTGTGGTTTAAATAATTAATTTTGAGCTAAATATTTAGCTTGAAACTTAAATATTTAGCTAGCTACCTAAATATTTAAGTTGCAACCTAAATATTTAAGTCACAAGTTCAACATTTAGCTTGTTAACGAAATATTTAATTTGTAAGTTAAATGTTTAGTTTATAAACTATGACATTTATAAATGCATGAATCATATGGTGAAAACTGACTTTGAAAAATAAATCTGTTCTTTTTTTCTTTTAAAAGGCTAAATAGAACAAAAATATTGGTGGTAACCTTTGAATGTGTAACTTTACAAACGGCACCTCATAGTGAGGCCTTAAGCACTTCTGCTTTTTCTGCCTTTTTATTTTTATCTGCAGCATTAAACAGATCATTTGAGTTTACACGACTGGACCTTTACAGAATATTTCTTTACCATAAAGATTTTTTGACCAATAAACACTAATATTAGCTACTTTTAAAATCCTTTTTTTGTTGCTATTAAACTGTTTTCAGGAAGGAAAATACAACAGTCAGCATTTCCGTTTGACTTTCACCTGGACTTTGTCTTCATTCTGTTGGGATCATTAAATAAATGAACTGTGACTCAAACTCTTCTTAGAGCTGCAGTTTCAGGTGATGTTTGCAAACACACAAGATATTACAGGAGTTTGCGCAAACTTGAGATACTAAGTGAAAATTGTCATTTCCCACTTTGTTTCTAATTCACTGAAACTAAAATCTCATTTTCTTTTAGGAATGACTTCCACACATTTCCAAAGTATAAATGTGTCTTAAAGATATAAAAGTGCTTAATTTATTATAGTGTTGTTTTTTAATGCATCTGCAAATACATAAAAGTAATTATTTTGTTAATTAGTTTGAAAATATCAACAAATGGTTTGTTATGTTTTATATGTGGAAATAAAGACAAACTTTTTTCCAAAAATGTCAATGCTTTGTTCTAATTTTTCCTCTCATAATTCAGGTTTTTCCTCCGATATTAATAATAAAAGGTGTGGAAGTTAACAGAAACGTTATAATTTTCTCCAGGATTTAAACACTGAATGCCAGCTAAGTTGCAGATTTACAAAAAATCTTTAAAAAAAAAGCAGATATATTGTGTGAACCTGTTTTTTATTAACCAGAATGGGATAAAGATTGCAGCAGTGAAGGTAAACAACAGTTGGACACAAACAGACTTAAACAAACAAAAAGTTCACTTCAGTCCAATCAATAGATTCAAAACTGCTCAAAAACCTGCAATTTATGGGATCAAACTGATTTGTTCTCACATGCAGCCGTACTTTAGTGTCCAATTAGATAATTAACTTGTGTGTGTATATATATATATATATATCAAATGTTCTGGCTTCTATCAGAAGAGGTTTGAGCTGAACTCAGCTGAAATGTGGCGAAAATAAATCTAACAAAACTTAAACTAAAATCCTCTTTTGTTTTTGTCTGTTTCGACTTTTCATGAATTAAATTAGTTATAATAAGTTAGTAGAAATCTGACAATTATTTTTTACATTAATAAAAAAATAATGTTCTAATAGTAAATAAAGACAGTGAGTTGTATCAAAAATATTTATTAATATAACAAAGACAGAAAAGATAAATGTTATCTATAACGACATTTTCTCATCGTTTTATTTACATGATAATGAATAAAGTCTTTATTTCTGCTGCTTCTGTTTCTCTTCCTCTCGTTCTCGACCAAACTCAACCACCAGCGGTTTCCCGAGCAGCCGGAAGCCGTGGACCAGCAGCAAGGCATTCTGGGCCGTTTCCACGTCTGTCAAAGAGAAGCACGGTTACACACGGTTAAACTCAGAAAGAAAACTGGTTTAACTATTAAAAAAACAAACAGATTTTTGTTTCCCAGTAATATKTAAATGGTTTTGTTTCTTGGATTGGTTTGTTCCACAGCCTCCTGTTTGTCATCGGTCCGTCCAGCTGTTCTACAGAACACCTGAGTCAAACCGTCCCGCTCACCTGGCAGGGTGACGAAGGCCTGACCCTTCAGCCGACCCGTCAGCAGTCGGTACAGGACCGGGGATCCGTWGTTCTGTTCGAACCTGGAGAACAGCGCCACTAACTGGGCCACTGAGGCCTGCGGGCTCAGGTTCTTCACACACAGAACCTGTGACACGACAAACCTCTGAGTTAGAGAGGCTGATTGTTGACAGAAAAGCTCATCAGGTTATTGTTACATGTTTAGATTTTAAATATATGACAGAAACTTTAGTTATTAAAAAGGAAACGAGTCCCACTGAGAACCTTGGAGGGGTTTCCTGGCTGGTAGTTTCTGAACCTCGGGATGCTCCGGATCCCCTCCTCAGATTCGCGGTTCTGCAGGATTTCTTCGTCCGTCAGCTCCTCGATAATCCCTCTGAYGGTCAGAGGTCTGTCTAGCCCCGCCCCCGCTGCTCCACACAGACTGCCGATTGGCTGGTTTAAACGGATCTGAACGCGCGGGGCTGCAGGTCGATCCRGTTGCTCTGATGTGTTTGAACCTGGCCTTAGTTCTCCTTGGAGGTCAGGCGTGTCTGCTGATTGGCTGTCGTGGCTCTGGGAGCCTCCTGATTGGTCAGACGCAGTGCTGTGTTGTTCCTCTGTGTCCTGCAGTGAAGCTCGTTTCTGGCAGCTGAGAACGTCTCTGTAGACGGAGTCCATCGGGTCAGAGGACGACGCCCCCTGCTGGCTTCTCTTGTTTTCTTCATCTGAGCAGAAACAAACAGACAGAACAAGAAAATGGTTTAAACTCGACTTCTAAATTAAAAACTGGGGACAAAATAACAACGAAAACACCTCATTTAAAATAAAACCATCATGTTTCACAACATAAAAACAGTTTCTCTATAAGATGTTTTGCTGGGWGCCTCGCACCTCGATGGTAGAGCGCCGTGAGGAAGCCCAGGCGGTCGTTTCCCTGGAACAACGCCTGTTCGATCTCCATCTGGCGGCGGGACAGGGGCCGGCTGGAGGCGAAGCGTTGGGGGCGGGACARGAGCTCTGCTCTGGCTTCCATCTTGTCTCGGATCACCTGAAGACGCTGCTGCCTGGCGTCTGGAGCGGCGCACACACCGTGGGACTGTAAGACCAGAGGCAGCTCATATGACTGATGTGTTCCTGATTTCTGACAGCTTTTAATCATAATAATCACAGAGGTTTTATAGTTCACATCATAGATTTTTTGCAGCAGGTTTGACCTTCTCTGTCGCCTCCTGAGCGTCTCTGCTYCGCCACAGCTGGATCTCAGCGTCAKTGAGGCCCAGTTCCCGCAGGCTGGCCAGTTCTTTCTCTCCGTCCTGCAGAGCCTGAAACTGGGAGAGGCTTCTCACTCCGGCTGCCTGCTCCCCAAACGGCTGATAGAGAGCTGCCGGGGCGAAGCACTGCCTCTTGGCCACACATCTATAACACAGAGTTCATATCAACGTTAAACATCAGACACTTTAAATGCAGGAAAATCAATATTTAGTTTGATCTCTGAGTGGTCTGGATGTTTCCTCAGATGTTTTACAAGAAATGACTGATTCTGAGTGTATTTAGGCCGATCCAGACCTCATGACCACAGGTGAGGGCTGGAAATCCACAACATTTTCTCACCAACACATAAAATRAAATGTAACTAGGTTGGGCTCTGAAAGGCAAAGCGACAGGCTCTGACCGGTCGATGTCCACGTKGGTGTGCAGCTGATGCAGGAGGAGGCTGTGCAGCTGGCGCTGACCCTCCGTCTCCTGGTCCTCCAGCACCGGGCCCTCCTCACAGGCCTGTCGGCTCACCCTGACAGATTTCACACACAAACACATAGTAAAAACGTTCCGACGCTGCTGATTTAACACAAAATTCACACGACTTGCAAAACCGTTTCACAATTTCAGCATTAAGATTATGTTTAATGCTTTCAAATGTCAGAACATTTGATTAAACACATCCGTAAACAAATAGTTATTATTACTGAATGAGTGGTTAGTAATTTAATTCATAAAATAAAAACTATTTTCGAAATAGTAAAGTCCATGTGTCTATGACAGATTTATCACTTTATTTTCCATATGAAAGCCTTGTTAATGTTCTATTACTTTAGAAAATATGTCTGTATGGTTTAAATCTAATGTGGTAAAAATCCATTTTGTGGCTCTATAGAGCACTGGTTCCCAAACTTTTTATCTTCTGACCCACAAAATATTCATGGCAAAAACTTGTGACCCCAAATATTACTGGTCCAAGTCCACAAACTTTATTAATAACCCAGAAAATAAAGGCTACACAAATATAAATACTTATTTATATTTATTTTGTGTTTTTGTAATAATTATAGGKAAAATATTACATCACCAATTATTTTATTATCCTTTAAATTGATTTCTGAAGTCACTGCTGTTAGTGTTTCAAACCAGATCCATAAATAAATGTTCATAACTTTGATTTATTTAACAATAACATTCTCTTACAGAATAAAACTATTTAATATTGGCAAAAACAACACATAGAAAACTCATTTAGGGTTACTTATGGTTGYAGAAAGCTAAATATTTACAGATAAGGTAAACACTATAATACAAACATATTGTTTATATAACTTATCATTATTTTATTTTACTAAATAAGACCAGAACTTTGAAAAGAGTTGGTTGCGTGGCAGTAAACAGTAAAAGCAAATTTAATGTTTTTTGTTGTAATAACAACGTAAAATGCTTCCAGCTAAACGCTAGCTAGGATTAGCTTAGCCTAGCTTGGACGGTGGTCTCCTCCAGTATCTGATCAAATGACCGAAGCAACGACTACGTTACGCCTTTATGTCTGTGTTTTCACACATAAATTAAACTAAACTGGGTTTAAAATCAAGGTWTATCGAGTCAAAGTCAAGAATTCTTGGTAATAGTTGTCATCTGAGAGGAAAGACTTGTTTACCTTCGCATGACTTCCGTTCCGATGTCCACTTCCGGTATGGAATCATGGGAAATGTAGTCCAGTCTGGTCGTAAAATACTCCCAAGGTTAGAGTTGGGTTTTTYGTGTACTGTCTTGCGAAATAAAAACATAAATCACGCACATTATCAAAATTTGTAATTTATTATGCAAACAAATATATTTTATTTCAACAAACAATAAGTAAATATAAAAAAACCTTAAGAATAGCTCCTATATATTTGTATTTTTCAGGTTATTTGTCACGGTGTTGCTCACGACAAGGAAATCAACATCAGTCTTAACATGCACCAGGGGCGTCACTAGGTTTTATGGACAAGGGGGGCTTAGATCCCAGGAAACGCACAGAATCTTTGTATATATATATATATATATATCAAATGTTCTGGCTTCTATCAGAAGAGGTTTGAGCTGAACTCAGCTGAAATGTGGCGAAAATAAATCTAACAAAACTTAAACTAAAATCCTCTTTTGTTTTTGTCTGTTTCAACTTTTCATGAATTAAATTAGTTATAATAAGTTA